AAAGATTCCAAACCAAGTTACGTCACGACGTTTCGATTGTTAGTATCCACAATCGTCTTTGGGTGATCACCCGATTCGTATAACACACACTAGATGCAAATTTCATGACATGGTAATTTATGTGAATGTGCTCATTGAATTCGTAATACTTGTCGTAAAATAACGTTTTATGGAATTATCGTATTGAACTTTCAATGATGTATGAATTTTACTGAATGAAATCACACAGAAAGTGTTAGTTCATTAATAAAATTTCATTGTCTAATTTTGTAAAAGTGCATTGTGAATGTTTAAATTTCAGTTTGATATGTAATTTTGTTTTCTCCTGCTGAAGGTCCACTGATCCTAAAAAAATTGAATCTTCATAACTTCAATTGGATATCCAAGAACTGGAGATATTGATTGCTACTTCTACCGGAATGAGATTTAGGATAGAAACTTGAACAAAAAGTGTGAATATCAGCGGGGCCTTCAATCACATTGTTTATTTATAATAAAATATTTAAATGAAGAAAAGAGAATTGAAACTTTCTATGTTTCAAAAAACATATGAAGTTTCAATTCTACCTTCTTCATTATGATTTTATACCACGTAGTAACGGCTACATTCATGAATTTATTGAATATTTAAATATTTCATAATAGTAGATAATAGTAAAACTATATATCTGAATGTATTTGGGAAATGTTCATATTTTCATCAAATTTTAATTCTTTTCCATTACTGTTCAGAAATGAAATAATTGATTTATTCCATAATTTTCATTATGGAATAAAACACTGCAGTCAATAAATCATGAATAATATGTCAATCGTATGTAACTAACAAATTATTATACAACATCAAATATTTTATATTTATTTTTCATGAAGAAGATCGGATAGATGGGATCATATTGAGTTTCAATATGAGTAGAATTCATGTTGAACACTCGTGTGAATAGTTGAATCATCAGCATTATTTAATTATATATATGATGGAATCGGCTGATACTTGATTGAAATCCAAGACGTATTCAAAAAACTATTCATTGTGAGATTTCCACTGAACAGTTCCACAAAAACTGATATTTTCATAAAGAGTTCGTTCAATTGAATTATTTCAAGAATCATACTTGAGGTTAGTGGAATTGAAAAACACAAGGTTCAATATTAGGACCGCTACTGTTTTCAATCTACATAAATGATCTCCCGAAATATATCAAACGGTTACACCATAATGTTAGCAGATGACACTACCATATCAGTGTCTGGTAACACAATAGATGAGTTAGAATTCAATATAAACTCAGCCATGGACGCTATGGTTTCTTGGTGTGACAGAAACCAACTCAAACTGAATGCAAATAAAATAATTCACTTGGGTTTCTCTTTGAGAAAGACATTGAATCTTAATAACGTCCAACTATCCATGTTGTTTCATTGATTCGTAAAACACGAAAAATTTGTTGTTTTCTTCATTACTTGAAATGGTTAGGAAATTACCAATACGGAGCCTGTGAAAAATATGTCGATGATCAAATGTTCAGTGCTACAGACTAGGACTTGGGTTATAAGTGTTGACAGATTTGAAAACTATGAAGGAATTGAAAATATAGAAATATTAATAAAACTAATAATAATACCGAAGTTAACAGGACCCAAAAATTCAGATGAGTTAATTGGAAAGAAATTATTACTGAAGATGGAAAATAACTAAAAGAAGGGTAGGATAGTCAGAAAAAATAAAACGCTAATTTGTAAAGGAAAGGAACTGATACGATCAGAAATGAAAATGAATTAATTAATAGGTTTAACAATGATTGTTCTGATTTCTATAAATATAAAATTTATATTTAGTATCTGTTGTTATTTGTGCTCCACAACCTTGCCTAATACAGACAAATGTTTCCTTTAGCACTTTTCAATGAATAAGAATATGTTTACCGATGCTTCTGGTATCATGACAGTGAAAACGAGAAATAATTCTAGAAATGAAACTATGTTATAATGCGTTGTTTCTTATTTCTTATGATAATGAACTTATAATGCACTATTTGGAACCTATGATGTAGTAATCTGTATTACTGGAGATTTTTCCCAACACCAAATCGTTATTTTTGAAAGCACGACACGTATTTCGACCACCAAGTGGTCATCTTCAACGGGAAGATTTAATCTTCCTCTTGAAGATGATCACATGGTGATCGGAACACGTGTCGAGGTGTTAAAAATAACGATTTGGTGTTGGGGAAAAACGCCAGTAATATTCGATAATGAAGTTCATTATATATTTGTGAATAAAACATTATTGTAGATTATTGTTGTCATTGCCTACTATCAGTTCAGGTTGAAATACAAATTTACTTCGTTTGCAAATTATATTTTAGAGTGTATTGTGATTTTTCATTGGACATTTTAAGCAACTCGATACTACCAAAGAAACATTCAGAAAGAGGGTTACTTAACACAGGAAAGTTTTTTTTCTGTATCTCAAATATCAGAGTTTCGATAGCATGTGATAGAAAACTCTCCACTCTATTATTTTTATACACAACTTGGCGTTTCGTGCACTGTTTTTAGTGAGGCGTATTGTGGTATAATCCCGGATCAATACTCTTATCGCGTGAATTTAATTGTTTCCACTCGCAAATTTTCATCAGAGACGAAACAAGCCCGTTTTTGAGGGATGGAAGTCGGTCAGGTTTACAACACTGACATAAAATTATGAGTATCTTGGCTGATGAACTATTTTCTGTGAACAAATGCATATTTTTTACTTTGAAGCTACAACCGCTGAAACAAGTGAATGGCTTACTGACTCATTTGGTTTGGAAAAAGTGATAATCATACCTTCATAAGTAACAAAACATTTATTAGGTTTTCAAATCAAAATTCAATTGAATTATCAAGTACCAATATCTAGGTATCAAGAATACTTCCTTTATTTCTTGGACGTTGATTTTTGCGTTACGTTTCATCTACAACTGCGGCAAAGTCTATGAGACAACAAAGTGGTCTCAAAAAAGAGTAAAGATATGAAAATATCAAACAGAAGTATGAAAAAATATCAACAGTTGAGTTTGAACACTAATACTATTCAATATGTAAGTTGAAAATATAAATAAATAATATTTTACTGTTAATGTAAGTTACAAAGAACATTTGGAGCTCTATGACTTCTATTTGATTATCTGCGAGCGCTTTCGACAGCTGGTCGTGCTGTCATCCTCTAGGTACTATTCTATCTGAATGTGTGATCCTGTGATGTGTCTTTTTATACGGTCCGAACGCCTCATAACAGGTACTTCTGTTGCTTCAGGTAAATTTGCCTGTATTTGGATTACATCAGGTACTATTCTTTGTGTTAAATCTTCTCTAGGTTTATTGTTTCTAGGCGTGTATGTTGATTTGTTTAATATATTGAATGTTAGGTCTTGTGTTTTGATTTGTACTTGTTCCTCGATAAGTCATTTTTGACTGTTGAATTTATGGATGTTTAAGTTTTCCCAAATGTCCATGCGGTTTTCCTTATTGACTTGTTTTATGAGTTTTATGTTCTCTGGTGGGGTAAAGTTATGTTTGTCTTGTATGGCGTGTGTTGCGAGGTTTGATTTATATACTATTGGGTTCATGTATGCCTTTTTGTGTTCAACGTACCTTTGCATCAGTTTTTTCTTGGTTTGACCGATATAGAATTTGTTGCAGTCCGAGCATTGTATACTGTATATTCCGTTTTGGTTTTTGTCTTCTTCTTTTTCATAGCTGTTTATTTCTTGTGTTATTTTCGTGTTTAGCTTGTATGTGATGTTGATGTTCAATGGCTTGAAGATGTTTGTTAGTTTTTTGGTTTGGTGTCCTACGTACGTAAATGCTGTCCATCGTTGTGTTGTTTTGTCTGTTGGGTTGGCTTGATCCTTGTTCTTTATTTTTTGTTTTGATTTTGTTTTCTAATTTATCTATTGTCTTTGGATGTATCCGTTTTCGTTCGCTATTTGGTATATGATTTTCCGTTCTTTGTTCCGGGCTTCCTTACTGAGTGGTATCCTTAACATTCTATATATGATTGCGTTATATGCAGCCATTTTTTGTGATGGTGTATGATTTGAACTTGCGAGTATGGTGGAGCTTGTTTGTGTAGGTTTCCTGTATATTGCCATTTGAAATTGTGTTTTGTTGTGGTTATATCCGATGGTTATGTCCAGGTAGTTGAGTTTCGAGTTGTTTTCTTCCTCAATGCTGAAAAATAGTTTTTGATTCATTTCGTTAATTTCTTTTGTTATTTGATCTATTCTTATTCCAGAGGAGAAATATTCCAGAGGAGAATGATTCAGATACGTTGATCATGGACTGTACATATCACAAAACAATGGAATAATAGTGCCTAGAGGATGACAGCACGACTAGCTGTCGAAAGCGCTCAAATAGAATATAACCTGCAAACGCCTCTAAATGATAGGAGCAACGTTTGGAGGCTATAATGGGGTTTTTACTAATTAAAATAATGTGGTTAGCTACTTTCGGAGAGTGGGTCGTGGAAGAAATACTCTCGTGTGATAGGAAGTGGATTTATTCGTTGTGCAAGTTGCAAGTAGACTTAACTACATATAGACTTAACAGTGAATTATTCAATCCGCATGGGGAGAAGGACATGATCATTTGATACCCCTATGTATATATACATCAGAGTTTACATATGTATAAACTACTAAGTGGTAAGTAAATATAATTTCAGAGTTGTGATATTTAGTTAGTGGTATTCTTTCTTCCAGAATCACTGATGGATAAGACTTCACAGCCAAAATGCAGCATTCAAATGTAACCAATAAACAGGATAATTGACAAGCAACAAGAGGTGTAATATTGATATAAGTAAAGCAATAGAAATAATGGAAAGAACTCGCCTGATCAAGGTGTTGCCAGCGTATATCTTTCTCCAATGGATATTTTCTTCGTTCGAAACTTTGTAGAGATCTGGTGTGTTCATAAATGATCTTGAGATTCTGTGGTGAGTGGTATAGTTGTAATCAATGATCTTCTGGTTGCCAGATACTTCTTGTAGTACCGTAACAAAGGTAACAATAAGCTATTCGTCAAGATGTAACCAGCGTACAACGAAGAGATAAAGTGAAAGGGCCAAAAATAAAAAGGCCTGAAACAAAGTAAGGTTATACGAACAATTCTGTGCCAAGTTCCAGTTTTATTTGGGAGAGGTGCCTATTAAGATACCTCTCAATGGATAGTTGACAAGCTAGTGGAAGATGTACCTGTATATAGTGGATGGCCTGAAGTGAGGTCTAACGATTACGACTTGATTGGGAAGATAGAATAATTCAAATCCCAAAACACTGAAGTGGATATTTCTTTCTCTTCTCAAGAATAAGAAACTCTTATATTCACCTCCTAATACGTATAAGGCAAATCCATCCAAGATGTGAGCACAATTCTCAAATTTAGCTCTTGCCATGTGCCGTGATGATCAAAAAAGGAAAGGATATCCCCCTTTCAAAGGTATGTAAACTTGTCTACTAGTCAGTTTAATTTCGCAATCCCATGAAATGGGTTAATTATTGCGGTTATTTGGTCGTCATGGTTATTGATGTCAAAGACGGTCTGTTCGGGGTAAAATCATCTTCAATGACGTCACAGGTGAATCCTTTCAATCAAACCTTTCAATGATATGAACTTAACAGAAGTGACACAGATTGCCAATATAACTCAACAGTGATGTAATAGTTATTTATGTATCAAGGGAATTAGGAGGGCCTTAATTACCGATGGCAAAGTTTGCGTCCCGAGGGCCTCTGGCCCNTTCAATGATATGAACTTAACAGAAGTGACACAGATTGCCAATATAACTCAACAGTGATGTGAATGTATATTTTGAAGAACTAAATATGAGAATGTTAGGTTATTTATTTCTCGTATTTGTATTCCACAGGAATCTCAGAGAACACTCGAAGCACCAATTACTACAAGGCAATTATAAACAAGAACTGATTGATGGTAAGTGATTGAATGATAACTAGATGCAATTGAATATACAGAGCGTATTATTTTCAGGGTACAGAAACTTAGAATTTAACGGATCTCATGGAAGCACTATTTCAAAAATGTCATAACGATGAATAAATAAACATCAAAGTTGTATATTTTTTTTTCTATTTAATTTAACGAAAATCATAAAAAAAGGTAAATTAACACGTAACAAGAAGTCATAGAGCTTCAAATCCTTTTTGTAACTTACATTAATAGTAAAATACTGAAAATAAAAGAAAAATTAGTTGCATCATCCAAAATAAATAATAATATAAAATTGAAAATAAAACTGAAAATATGACAATTGAAAATAGTACAATCGAAACTGTTGCAATCAGGTGATTAATATTTCCAAATCAGCCTGGAAGTATTCATTGAGGAAATAAAATGTATTGTCATGTAACAGTTTTTTAACATTTTAAGAGAGATAGGTAGTTGTTGAATGATTTTATGGGCATAATTAGAGGGCCGTTTGCTGCTTTCCTCAATTTATGGTGTGGAACAATAAAATTATAGTTGGATCTTAACGTATATCCTGTGGCGAGCCGAAGATTATCTCTTGTTTCAAATTTGTCGGGATAATTTTTGACATAAACAACACAGTTGAATATATATATAGTGAAATAATAGTAAGAATATCCAAATCGGTAAACAGCTCCCTACATGAGTCATCATATTTTTTGGAACACATTGTTCTCACTTTCCTTTTTTTAAAGCTATTAGTAATTCATTTATTCTCGTACATTTATCAAAGTATATCAGACAATAACTGAGTGAAGATTAAATATAAGCATAGTAACAGCTCTTAAATATATTCAATGGAACAAAATTACGGAGATTACGAATTACAAAACAATGTTTCGACAGTTTACTCAAAATATAATCAATGTGTTCGTTCCAAGAGAGTTGAGCATCAATGTTCAAACCTAAAAATTTTACAGATGAAATCATAGCATTTTCTTTTGCCATGCATTATTCCATCCTTATCAAATGCTATTTCTTTCAAGGTGTAGCTTATGTTTCACTTGGTCAACTTGAACCATATTCAACTCACAGTACCTACTCATGAACTAAAGCGAGTTATACTAATATTTTTTATTCAAATGATAGATTTACATCATATAGATAACCCGGTGTTCATGTTTTTCATATGTGGACCGTAATATTGCTCCACCAATCTCTGAGAACGAAAAAAGAAATTAGTGATGTAGAATATTTATTATGTTTCATACCTACCTTTAAGATGTCATATAATTGTACTCTATCAGGTAGAGCACACAAAACTTTCATAAATACTGTCTTCTACAGATTGCACTACTAGTAGGTTTTCTGTAAATCGAAAGAGACGATTTCACGTGATGTGTATAAGTATTTCTATTATAAAATTGTATTATATATTGTTACATTTACTCACTTGTTACTGAAGAGTATAATCACTTTAGTCATCATGCATTTATATATCTGTATATATTTTCACCGTTATATTTATGTATCAAGCCTTGGATCGTCTATTGGCGCTGGTGGTGAACTTAGTATTTTCATCTATCATCAGAAAATGAACAATCGGATGTCGACCTCTAACTTTCAATCAGCTGAAGGATATTTTCTTTCATGTTACGAGAGCAGATCGGTTAATGTGTTCTGTTCTCATCATCCTTCCACACTCGGTGCGTTCGTTGTTTATTCAACACTACGAAACGTGAATCCCTAGACATGCCATCTGGCGGGTCGAAACAACTACTCTTTTCTTCTAGTAGTCCTTTTGACATTGGGTAGATTTTCTTGGCATTGCAGTTTTCGTCATTCAAAAACATCCATATATATGTGTATATGTGAATTTTATTATTTCCAGTTCAAATCTTAATCTGTCCGAAAATAATGAAACTCAAGTTACTTTGTCTGACGTCACAGTTTCGACGTGAAAAACAGACTCAGAATGTGTGCCAGTCAGAATGCGCTGTAGGTTGATTCTTAAGAAGTTTTTTTGAAATGAAAAAAGAAGGTACTCTTTTTTGGATGGCCGGCGTGACTTCAGAGTGGCGAGCCATAAGCACTGGTTTCCTTTGTGAAATTTTTCTTTTGCGATGAGGATATGCTCACACAGATTGTGATTTTGGTGTTTAGTTTGTTTCTGTTGAGAGCAAGTTCATCCTCTGAACCCGATAGGTATGTAATTTCAGTATTTAAATCTTGCAAGCTTCCCTTCGCCATTTTGCCTTTTTTTTGTATATTGAAATTGGTTGTAACTAAGCCTATTTCACAGGGTTTTTCCGTTGGGGCTTGATGATCTTTACTCACTATGATTTGAGGAGAAATAATCTATTCCTGGAGTTTCTTTTTTCGAGTCTGATTTCAAGAAGTCCAGCATGGGTACCACGAGGTCCTGTTCAACAGCTTCCTGTTGTAATTGAACAGTATCAGTACTTTCAACCATAGCAGTATCCCAAACTTCGTAGATGTATCCTAGATCCGATGTATAGCTCTGTTGAAGTGTTCAGAATGCAGGTTCCATTGCAAGGCAAATTTGATTCCACCAATATCAGCTGATGTGTTTGAATCTAGTCTTTACTTCAGCTGGAAGTAAATCTACCAGGCACCCTGTTTGGCACATCCACCATACACGTTCACCACCACCAAGATACCGTCTGAGGCAGAGCTGATTCTGAAGCTCCTTAAAATGTATAAAATCCTATTACCTTTATTCACCATCCATGTAATAGACAAAACATATTCGTTCATAATTATCTTGGGTAGTGTCCCAGAATTTGTAATTAACTCATTGTATCTTACCATCATTCTCCGCCATAAACAAAAATTATTGTAATAATAAATTATTGTTGTAGATTTTGACTCTCATTTCATAAGGCTCTGTCATTCTCAATATTTTGTTTTCAGGGTTTCATAGAAATCAAATTCTAGTGGCGCCTAACATTTTTTTGTACTATCAAACGATATTCAGTTTCGACTTGAACCCATGCCCAATGCCGCCAGACGAAGAGCTGCCGTTCGCTGTGTGTATATATAAGTAAAATTCATGCCACAAAGTTTGTTGTATTGACTTGCCATTTATTTTGAACAGAACACTGCGATCATGCTCATTTAGTGGAAAGACGATTGCATAAGTTTTAGAGCTGTTCAGAATGAGACCATTTCAGGAACAATATTTTTTGCATATCAGCCGTTCAGAGTGAAAGAAGAATCGGTGGCAAATTGCACTGTACAATGTTGATGATTACTGTTATTGAGGTCATGTACTAATAAAATGAAGAGCACAGTTCCCAGGACGCTACCCTGGGGAACATCGGTGAGAACGACACAGGTTCTAGAGTGGAAGGTCCCAGCCTCCAGTTAAACCCTCACAGTTTGCGTTCTTCAATCCAGATAAGATCTCGACCAATTCAGAGATGAGCCACGAATTCCTAGACAAAACAGCTTGCTCAAAAGTAAATCGTGATCAAAGTGTCGAAAGCTCGTGACAAGTCAAATAGAACACTTGACACAGCTATCTCGGGCCATAAATGTTAACAAAATTCTATCAATTTTCCATACTGAAATGAAACCTAACCAACAAACGCAATTTTTTCAAGCAGCTCAAATAACTTTTGTCGTATTTGCAACCCTTCACAATAAATTTTGAACAGGATGACAGTGAGTTACCGATATTTCAGTATTTGGTACATGGACGGTTCACACCGTTCTGAAGACACCATGCCCGGCACTGATGATGGGGCAAGTACCCCGAAGTACTTGTTCGGTATTGATGATTTTTCATTTATATGCTATACAGTGTGTATAGTATTTCGATAGGTATTGAGATCAGTATCTTGCAGAACAGGTACATGAAGCCAATATTGAGTTCAAATTTCGAGTATATATCTCATGTGATGATTTTGTGTTTCGAGTATAATACGTAAAAGTCATATTTTGCCATATTTCAGAATTATTATGAATCGAAGAGACAAAGGAAGGCGTGAAAGATCAGTATTTTGTCATACTCCGCCTAGGACTCCATATGAGAGGCAAACTGGAGAGATTTGTCGCCGGGAATCGCAAAGATCAAGCAGTGCTAGTGAAAATAGAATAGATGCATTCTATCGTAGGAAGCAGATAATACACACCTGCTGATAGTTCTCGAGAACCATCAGTGATTCAGCATCGATATTTTGTCAAACCAGACTGTGTCCAGAAATTAGAACCCGGGAATGATAAAAATATGGATCCACAAGATTGATTAAATGTCGCAGATAAATGGAGGGGATGCCGAAAATCACTATATTTTCAATACAGAGTCAACTATCTTGACTATTCCGTGATTGGTACAACAGCCTCACTAATTATAACATGAACTGGAATGAGCGAAAGGAGCTGATAGTGAAATTATTTCCGAAGAGACATGATCTTGCCGCCAGTTTGAAAGTCTTGCTAGCTGAAAAGAAAACTCTGTAGAGAAACAATGATAACTTCATCAAGACGGGTGCTGACGCAGGAAGAAATTCTCATTCAGAGTGTAATAATGCTAATTTACTACGATATCGAATTCACAGTCGATATTCGACTGTGTATTCGATATCTACGATATCAAATACACAGTCGAAACATATTCAGAAGAAAGACAAACAACAGTCAAAATTTGATCGTTGCGAAATGCAGAATGTGAAAACTAAACCAAAAAAACATAGTCCACTTCCTCCAATTGTGACGACAAAGGACATTGTTTCAATCAGTTATCTGTACCAAAGAAGAAATGTGAAAAATGTCGTAGATATAGGCCAATGCTTCGCTACAAACAATGGGAATTGATTGTCACAACGTAGATTGGAAACTGAATGGAAAACGATATTAGGATTCAACTGTTTTGGGTCCACAGTGGAAACCAACTAACGCATTCACACGTGATTACAATAATACAATCGTGTCAACTGTAGGAACTTTATCTGGTGAACTAGAAGTTGACGAAGCATCGTAGACATTCTTGTGGTTTCTAGTACAGCTCAGAAGATGCCATAAGTAAGACTTGGGAGCTGTATACCATCAAACCACAATTCAGAAGATAAGATTCCTAGTAACCTGTAGCATTGGAACATCTT